TGGAGGTGCTGGTGGGGAAGGGTGAGAGCAGGTGGGGGATCTGTGAGGAGCACGTCAGGATCACAGTGGGAGCGTTGCAGGACAGGGAATGGCAGGATTGGGGTGGGGGGCAGGTGTCCAGGAGGGGCTCGTGTCTTCTTGAGAAGGTGGTGATCACTCAGAGGTTGGACTCGGTGATCTCAGAGGTCTTTTCCAACCTGATTGACTCGGTGGTTCTGTGACCTCTGTCCTTGGTTGTCTCCCAGGGCGTGGACGAAGGACCAGATGGGCTGAGGCTGATCTCGGACATCATCCATGAGAAACTGGGAATAGAGATGACCGTGCTCATGGGGGCCAACCTTGCCAATGAGGTGGCAGATGAGAAGTTCTGTGAAACCACCATTGGTAAGGAGCCGTTGTCCCTCCTCGTTAGCAGCCTTCGTTTGTGACGAGAGGCAAAGTGGGAGGCAGAGTGGAGCTCAGACTGCTGGCTGAGCTGGCTCTTTTCCCTGGGAAGGCAGGAGATTCCCTAGGAGCTGGCTGAGCTCATTCCCAGGGTTTATGATGGGATCACTCGTTTCATTAACAACAGAGCTGTGTGGCTAAAACATTCCTGCCAGCACCGTGCCTGGCACAAGTTAAAGGGGTGGACACCATGAGGCACTTGAGGAATAAGTTCCATCCTTCATTTCCTTGGATGCTCACCTGGATCTCACATTGTTGCCCAGCCAGGGCTGCTTGGACGTTGATCTGGTGGCTGTTCCAACACCCCCCACACCGTTGGGAACCGTGCACGGAGCCAAAACCAACACAACAGCTCGCTGGGTTAGAGGCTGTGGGATTCAAAGTGCCTGTGTTTAGTGAAACAACAGCCAGCACGCTGGGCAGGAGGCTGGGGAGGTGGAACAGAGCCCACACAGTCCCTGTGAACACACAGGACCCCCACAGGACACCAGGCTCCAACCCCAGATCTGCAGCCTTTGAAGATGCCTTTAACCTACTGGGCAGGTCATTTGTGCCTTGCCTGACGAAGCAGCAGGGGTTGTCCCTGTTCTCTGGGAGTGCCAAGGCTGAGCATTGCTTATCTGTCAGGCCGTGTGTGCCTGGCTCTTGGGGGACCTGCAAATGTTTGGCCACGGCCATCGGTTGGGCAATAGGTTCCTGTCCCTGGATGAGCTGCAGGGGAGAGCTCGGTCCTACCTCGGGGTTTTTCCCCATCATCTTCCTCCTCCTCCTCCTCCTCCCTTTGTCTCCTCAGGCTGCAAGAACACGAAGTACGGGCAGATGCTGAAGGAGCTGATGCAGACCCCCAACTTCCGAGTGTCGGTGGTGCAGGAAGCCGACACCGTGGAGATCTGTGGGGCTCTCAAGGTGGGTCTGCAGGGCTTGGCCAGCAGAGCCTGAAGGGAGTTCTGGGGAGAGGCTGCCAGGGGAGAGGCTGCCAGGGGAACAGACCCCACTGTGGCTGCTGAGACCTTTGAGGCAAAGGCCAGACTTTGGAGGGACCTGTCCTGTCCAGCCGCTCAGAGGGATGATGGGCACTGGCACAGGTGGGAGCTTGTGCTCAGGATCCCCACATGAGCCAAATCGTGGGCACAGCAAAGCCCTGAGCTCTGCTGGGAACAGACCCCTCCACGTTCCCCTCGTTTTCCAGAACGTGGTGGCCGTGGGAGCCGGTTTCTGCGACGGGCTGGGCTACGGCGACAACACCAAGGCCGCCGTGATCCGCCTGGGCCTGATGGAGATGATTGGCTTTGCCAAACTCTTCTGCAAGGGCCCCGTCACCCCCACCACCTTCCTGGAGAGCTGCGGGGTCGCCGACCTCATCACCACCTGCTACGGGGGCCGCAACCGCAAGGTCGCTGAGGCTTTCGCCAGGACGGGGAAGGTGAGCGGGGCTGGGAGCGGCTGGTGTTGAGGGGAGGGGGTGTGGAGCTGTGCCAGGGCAGGGGCAGGGTGGATGCCAGGCAAAGGTTCTTCCCCCAGAGGGTTGTTGGGCGCTGACCAGGCTCCCCAGGGCAGCGGGCACGGCCCCAAGGCTGCCAGAGCTCCAGGAGGGTTTGGAGAACACCCTCAGGGACCAGGGTGGGGTTGTCGGGGTTGCAGGCCCAGCTCCTCACTGCTGGGTTGTTTCAGTCCATCGAGCAGCTGGAGAAGGAGATGCTGAATGGGCAGAAGCTGCAGGGCCCCCAGACGTCTGCTGAGCTGCATCGGATCCTCAAGAGCAAGAACGTGGTGGAGAAGTGAGTGCTGGGATCTGCTGGGCCGGGGCTGCGACCCTTTCCTGCAGCAGCAGGGGAAACCCCCCCCTTGGTGTCTCAGCTGTTCAGGGCAATCCGTGCACTGCCCACATCATGCCAGCCGGGCAGGATTCCTGCTGGATGGGGCCCAGTGCCACTGTCCCACCTGCTCCTGCTCGTCAGGGCGGCAGCTGAGGTGCTCTGCCCCTGCCAGCTGTGGTGTCTCTGTGTCCGTCTGCCCGCAGGTTCCCCCTCTTCACCGCCGTGTACCGGATCTGCTACGAGGGCAAACCCGTCGCTGACTTCATCAAGTGTCTCCAGAACCACCCTGAGCACATGTGAGGGGCTCTGCCTGCCAGGCCGCCGGCCCTGCTGGGACACGCAGAGACTCCTGCCCACCCCAGCCCGACCTGCTGCCACAGCTTTGTGGGGAGCCCGGGTCTCCTGGGAGCCTTGGCAGGGTGCTGGAAGGGGCAGAGGGTCCCTTCCCCAGCCCTGGACACTGCCAGCCTGAGCCTGGCACAGAGGTACCTGCTGACCTCCCTCTCTCTGCGAGGGGCTCGTTTAGTTCCTGCCGCTCTCTAAGGTCTGCCCTGAGCGGGACTGAGCATCTTCCTCCTTCCACTTCCTCCTGCTGTGATGGATTCAGCTCTGGGAAGGACTCTGTCGTGGTTGATACGGGCTGGGAGGACAAACAGTGCCCCAAATCCTCACTCTTAGCCCCATGGGGCCACTCTGGGTGACACCAGCCCTTCCCTGCCTGCTGCTGCTGCTGCTGCTTTTGGCCTCCCTGCCTGGTGGAGAGGGCACAGTCCCCTGCCAGGCTCCACCCGCTGAGCAAAGCCCCTCAGGACTCCCAGAGGTGCTGAGAATCTTCTTTCTAACCATCACCAGTGCCAGGCAACGGCATTCCTTGCCACCCTGCCACGTGCTGCTTCCCGAGCCACCCCCAGCTGCTCCTGCTGCCCCAGTGCTGCTCCACAGCTCCAGAGGGACACTTTGGGGCTTGTTTGTTTGGAGCTTTTGCTCTGGCAATCCCACCTGGCCCCTGCCCCGGGGAACTCCCCTGCTGTCACAGGTTTGCCTGTGCGAATTCCACGCCCGCTGACTCCTCTCCCTGTCCCACTTCGTCCTCTGGGGCTTGGCACTGCAGGGACCAACTGCTCCCCAGTCTCTGTGCCCCCTGCCTTGTACCTGCAGAGCCAGGGGGTGGGTACAGGGCACCTGGGTCGTGTTGCTGTTAAATAAACGACCCACAGCCACACTTTGCCCTCTCTGGCTCGCTTCAGCCTGTGCTTTTAGCCTGCTCTGTGCTCCCAGGTGGGACTGGCCGGGAGCTGAGGAGCAGGTCCCACGCCTTCCCTGCCGTGGGGATGCTGCAAACTGCCCGTTGGCACAGGGGCAGGAATGGGCATGTGATCCACGACAGGTACAGGGCAGGACAGAGGTCTGGGGCCTCACGCCGGGCCTGTGAAACTTGCCCCTTGTCCAGGCAGACGCCACGTGTCCCCCTGCTCCTCTGGAGCTGGCGGTGTTTGCTCAGAGCCAGCGTGTCCAGCGGTCACTGATCCTGCCCGGGCTGGAATTCTGGAATGCTGGAGTGCTGCAGGGCTCCCCGTGCCCCCCATTTGGGCATTGTGCTTTTAAACTGGCAATAAACACGGAGAGGAGAGGGGAGATGCTCTCCCTGCTCTGAGGCTCCGGTGCGTCGCTGCCGCTGGGTTGGTGCCTGCTGGACTCGCCGAGCGCTCAGAACAGGGCACTGCCCGTTCCCTCCTGGCTCTGCACCCTCCCGTGCTGCCCCAGAAACAGCAAGAATGTCCCTGCAGGTCCCTGTTTATGTCACACAGTGTCCCACTTGCTTTGTCTCAGCGGCGGTTCCAGGATTAAAGTTTGGCCGCGGGACCACGGCGGGCGTTGAGCCGGGTCCAGAGTCCTCACCTGGGGCCCGCAGGAGCCGGGCCAGGACCCCACTGTGCCCCACACACCCCGGGCCTCCCCTCCTCTGATGTCCTGGCTCTGCACACCGTGGGCTTTTATTCATCTCTTCCCAGCTGCTCTGCCCCGGGTGTCTCTGAAGGTGCCTCGTACCGAGTGACCTTTGCAGGGCCCCGAGCCCTGTGCTCGGCGTCTTGTGAGGGGAATTTAATCTGCTGGCACTGCTCTTGTTGCTGTGCCTTTTATTAGCCACGTTTTCTCACCAGGCGCTCGGCGACCTTTAAATTCAGGGGGCCGGCACGGCCTCCTCTGCCGAGGAGCTCATTTGAGCTTGGAGGGAGGATAAAGGAAGTCCAGCGTGTTCCTGCAGGGCTGGCACGACTTGTAGTTCCCTTTGTCTCCGAGTGCTTTCAGGAGTCCGAGTGTTTGGACATGAGGCTCGTGCAGGAAAGAGGATCCCCGAGCTCTGCTCCCAAACTCCTGTCAGCACCTGCCCGGGGCTGCAGCAGGATCCAGCGGGGAGCTGGGTTTAGCTGGGAGCTCCTCGGAGGTGGAAATGCTTCGTGCATCCCCCTCGTGCGGGTTTTTTTGGCTCTGCCAGTGCCAGAGCCCCTGCAGAGGGACTTTGCTCCCGAGTCTCACCTGAGGGGGGACCAGCACACGGATCTCTTGCTTTCAGACACCCCACACTGGAGCTCCGGAGCTATAAAAAGTCTCTTCCCTTTGCCATTTGGAATTATGTTCTGCAGGCTCAGCACATCCCGGCGCTGCAGCCCCGGGAGCTGCTGCTGGTGCGGGAAGGACGAGGAGACGGGGGGAAAGGGTGACTGTGAAAGCACTGGGATCATTGGGATGGCACTGGGGCCCTTGGGAGAACACTGGGATCGTTGGGATGGCACTGGGATCACTGGGATGGCACTGGGATCATTGGGATGGCACTGGGACCCTTGTGAAGGCACTGGGATCACTGGGATGGCACTGGGATCATTGGAATGACCCTGGGAACCTTGTGAAAGCACTGGGATCATTGGGATGGCACTGGAACCTTGTGAAAGCACTGGGATCATTGGGATGGCACTGGGATCATTGGGATGGCACTGGGACCCTTGCGAAGCCACTGGGACTCTTGAGAAGGCATTGGCACCCTCACGATGGCTTCGGATGGTACCACACCTCCAAGTCCCGGGGCTGCAGGGAGCAGAGGGGGATGCCGGGCAGCCTCTGTTCCATCCCT